GTTCCTATATATATCAGAAAAATTAAATGACCTGCTGAACACAGCTAATACTTTGTCATCAGGATGCATAGTGTCACATGCACAAAACAACAGAATCCCCCATTTTTTTGTTTACCTGAGGTAAAATAGAAGCTCTGGACGGCTTATTCACCAAACAAGGCAGTTTTAAAGCATTTCATGTGGAAACATATTAGAAAGAAAGGAGAAGTAAAACATGAGTTTGCATCAAGTGGTGTGTTTTCATGCATCTACAGGATGACGCAGCAGCAAGTATCTGGGTAGTCCTCGGTGCTGATTTTGTTTTCGTTTCCGTAAACGTAGTAGACATGCATGTTTTCCTTCCACTTGTAATTCACTTTAGTGATAGGGATCAGCTCGACCGTCTGCCTCTGAGGGACACAGATGCAGAGATACATCGATGGAAAAAAAAAGTGAACTTATTTTGGAAATTCTCATATCTGCTTTTTGACAGGTTAGCTTAGCATCAACAATAATGAGGAGGAAAGCTCAAAAATATAACTTATGGCATCATTTTCAGTGCTCTATATGTTCACATCACTTTATCTGCTTTTTCACATTTCTAAAGAACATTTTTTTCCTTTTATGTATCATCTCAAAAGGCGATTTTTCATATTTTAGCAGACACATTATTAGCACCAAAAATGTCTTAGTTTTAAACTGAAAACAACATTGCTTATATAATAAGACCATTTATTTTCTTTTAACAAAAACAGGGAACAACTTTCCACTTTCATTTTTATTCCAAAATACCTTTATTTTCTTCCAGAGCACAGGTATCTATTAGCTAAAACACTACAATTTATTGCCTTTCAGTGTAAAACTAAGAAATAAAAATTGGTCTATGTTGCCAAAACTGAACTAACAGTTGTAGAAGTTGTTTGTTTTATCTTTTCAACTTCATACCTGCTGCAAGATCCTGAAGTTTTGAGCATACTTGGATTGATGCTCCTTGATCAGCCGGTCAGAGGCCTCAAAAACAGCAGGGTTTGGGAAACCTTGCAGTGGGTAGACCTGTAAGGAGACACATCAACTTCAAATATATGAAGAACTCATCTATGGGGAAAAAAAAGGTATATTTTTTCTGCAGACCCATCTAAACTTTGAYTCAAGTTAAATTAAAATATTTTTCCAAGTTATCTGAGCTATTTATTATGCAGATAAGATGTTTTCAACAATACATACAGACTCAAAATGATAGTGGTTTCTTCATCACATAGATTTATTGAATTCTAAAAAAAATAAAAATAAAAAAACAGAACAAAGTTCTCTATCTACAGAGAGTTGCTAAAGGAAAAGCAAACAATGTAAAAAAAGAGATGTGACTGCGTTAGACTTTGAGGAAGTTAGTTTTTCAGCTACTCAAGTTGTTTAAAAGGAAATAATCATTAATCCACAATAAAAACTAATGAAGCAGTCACAAGCGCAGCAAGTCATCGTCATAAAAGGCTAAACAATTTGTTTCTGATCTTCTAATCTGTAGTTTATCATGAAATAAATACAATTACAATTTCAAAAACTTTAAAACTTGAAAGCTCAAAAAATTTACAGCACTTCTTAACCTTGAAAAACGATACAATTAAATTTAAACATTCTTAATGTTTTCCATCATCCTGTTTAAACCCTGAAGCATGACAATGAGCTGTAACACTACAGATGTGTGTGTGTGGGTGTTTTTGTCACATTTTTGTTACATTGTGGGAACCATTTTCCAGAAAAGGTCAGCCTCGTGGCGACCGAATGTGCATCGGATGCTAATTTCAGGTGTAGGGGTTCGGTTTAGGACCAAGGTGTGAAATGAGTTTAGGTTAGTTTTAGGGTCAGGTACCTGTGAGGTTAGCCTTAGGGTTTGTGGTCAGGGTTAGGATATAAAATAAAAAATTACCAAAAAATGAATGGAAGTCATGGAACGGGCCCACAAGGACATAAAAACAAGTTTGTGTGTGTGTGTGTGTGTGTGTGTGTGTGTGTGTGTGTGTGTGTGTGTTTACCATGTTCTGGCTGTTCTTGAACAGCTCCTTGCCGTTCACAGAAGCCAGCTTATCAGCCTTCAGACCAGAGTTCTGCTCCACAACAACATGATCATCCATGTTGGTTTTCCTGAAGAGATACAGAAAAACAACATGGAAAAAAAAACATTTTTTGTCATTACTACACATATATCTTATCCAACCTATGAGCCATGCAAACATGTAAGTTATTAGCAGTGTATAAAATGCAAAAATTCAAAATAAACATTTTATCTTTAATCTCTAGAGGGCGCCAAACATTTTCAGTTTAAGTTTTATACACTTGTACTGAACACTGTAGGATGTTAGTAATACACTGACTKTCTATAGAACTGACATTAATATAAAGATATGTATCTTCTGTGTTAGTTTAGTTGTGAGCTTTGGATCCTTGGCACAGAGACAACAGGTGCAGAAGAACAGACTAACACTTGCAACTTTTGACTAAAAAGAGCTGAGAGGCCCTGTAATAAAATGTAAAWAGAAGCTTCAAGAAGCCAAAATTACATAAAGGTCAGCAAGCAAGGATAGGCAGAAACAAACTAAATAATCTGGATTAAGATTTAAACATGTGCATAGAGATAAACGTGTTATTTTCCAACTCAAATGCTTGAATAACGAAAGCTTCATGTCTCATGAATAAATCATGCTGAATCGTTATAGAACAAAGCAGTCCTGCCTACAGTTATTAAATAAAATAGAGGTCGTAAAACACTAAGAGGAATTAAAACAGCTTCCTGTTGCTTTTAAACACTTTTAAAAGGTTCTTAGGAACTCTTCTCACTTCTCTGAAATACTGTAAAAAACAAACAAACAAACAAACACTGGAATATTTTCATTGATGCGTTTTCAGGAAGATTCAGCAAACCAAATTTATCATTGAATTTCTTCAGACTTGTTTAAAAAGATCACAAATGAGAATGAAAACCTTCTATAGCACTTTAAAACCATAAACAAGATCCTTATTAAAGGACCTTTTGTCGGTCTAAGTCCTATTAGTTGTCTTTAAAACTTATTTACACATTTGTTGGAATAAAAAGAACATGTTATAAAATATTTGGAACCCTTGAGGGGTTTTTCTTTACTAACAATCTTCTTTTTTGGAATTTTTGCAACAAGCCTGGTCTTGTAACTAAAAAGAGCCAACGTCCTCCAGCAATTCCCACTCAGCTTTTACTGTACCACTACCAGGTGTAGAGCCAGTGCGTTGGCAAATGCCCACCCCCAAATGATTGACAAGTGGGGTGGCGTTTGCTTGTGGCATTTCAAAAACAAGCTATAAATGTAAAACCTTTGTTGTTAGCTGGGTTAGCTTTCAGAATGTCATGGGGATTGCTCTTGGCTACCATCAAACCAAGTTTCAGCTCGATATTTCTAAAAATGGCTGAGTTGTAGTCATTTGAAATTAGTTTTGGCCGCCATCTTGGATCTTGAATTTAAAACCAGATTCAGCAAAAGATTGTTCTCCTGCTACTAATATGCTAATTTTTAGCAGTGTGTAGCACTTTTTGAAATAAGCATTAGCAGTTATCTTAGCTACGACTAATAAGCGACATTATTTTTTTTGTTCTTAACTACGATCACAAAAATTTCAACTCAATATTTCTTAAAACAGCTGAATTAGAGCCATTTCAAGTTAGATGGGGAGGCCATCTTGAATTTTCAAACCCCAGAGTAGTTTTATTTATTTTTATGTGCCCCCCTAAAAAAAAACACCTTGGCCACCCTGTGCTATCCCACGCAAAATGTCTAGCTTCGCCCCTGCTCTCCTGTACAGTTCTGCTGTGTGATTTATTAACGGCACAGCTGAAAAGCAGAAGAAACTCAGACGGGCACTAAAGTCAGCACAGAACATAATTGGGACGACCTTTCTTGGACAGCGTGTATTCTGATAGACACACCTGCTGCTTCGTAAACCATCTGGCAAGCTCCACAGAGCAAATAAAGCCAGGACAAACAAGCTGAGAAGTTTGTTCTACATCGCAGTTGTACGTTTTATCTTCCCACCTTAGTATTTATCACTTTATTATGCATCGTTTWTTGATTCACACATGTAAATGTCCTCCCTTACTATTTCTATGAACCCAGTAAGCTACCTCCAATATAATCTACTACTGTTCTCAGCTTAAATCCCTTCCTGGTGCAGTTCTTGTACTTTATGAATACTCACCACTCCACTTTGAGTTTGACGTAGGTCAGTATTTTCTTTTTTCCTTTGCAGGTTTCACACTCCTTTGTCCCGTTACCGTTGCATTTTGAACACCTCGGCACACAAACACACATGTAAGATTTGTGACACGTTATATATTTTTAAATTGTTTAATTCAAGTTTAAATATGGGAATTTAAAGCAACAGATTACACTTATGGATTGGAGCAAAGTCATATTTGTTAATTAAAAGTGAAAAAAAAACCTGACAAGCAATATTATTTTGAAACCTAAAACCTTCATAATGTTTTGGAAAACACCTTAAAAGTTTCATTTACTGTCAGTTAAAAAGGAGGAGTGTTTTCTCAAAAAACAAACAAAAATAATAATAAAACGTTTAAAAGGCCTGACGTGAATTTTGCAACCGCCTGATTGAATGAATCTGACTATCATTGTGTTATTGTATCAGAACTGGATTACTTGTTTTTTCCTGTTGCATTGCATCTGCTGCAGTTTTCATCTTCCTTCTTCCCAGAGCCATTACACTCTGTGCATGATTTCTACGGACAAAAAACAAACATTTTTTGTAGCAAAAATGAATTTTACATATAAAACGTTTTCGCTAATTTAAAAATTACTGAATTTTTCCCCCCCTTACATGTCCACTTCCACTGCAGTCTTGGCAGGTCTTTTTCCCTTGGCCATGGCAGTCACTGCATTCCTGCATAAAAGCACGCACAAATTAAAAAATAACTTTACRGCCAAGGATCCACACAAACCATCAAAATCCTGGTTGTAATTTGACAGCTCAGTAGACAGGTCTCTGTAATCAGATATCATTTAGATTAATTGTTAACTTCCAGTCGGATCTAATGATAAGACAATCTTGATGGTGTTTTTTGAGTCAATACAATATGGAGACATTTTATGATTATAACAACCTGATTGCCACAGCTGTACGGCCTGCTGGGTGGTCCTTWCATCACTTCAGAAGTCATGCAATCCGAGGGGAAACCAAAATAAAACAACTACATCACCACAAAACCAATTTGAAGCTTTGTGGTTCCCAAATATTTAAGCTTAAAAACAGCAACCTGACTACTCAAATCTACTATTTTATAATATTATAAAGAATGTTTTTTACCTCTTGGAATGATTATACCAAAACAATGCTGGGCACTTTTGAGAGAAGATCCTAAAATTGCCTACTTGTTGTCTCATGACCTACAATGTGATCTGGACCTCAGCTTTCAGAACTGCTGCTTAACTCACTCAGGATGTGTTACCAGTTCACACACCTGTTCAAACACCTCTGAAAGCCATGTTGATGACGGCTTGACATCCTGTGGGTGCATCTACGTTATTTTGGAGATCAAATAGAAGCTACTTTCTGGTCTTTTTAACCTTATAACTCTAAAAATAAAGGGCATCTTCACTGACTAAAACAAAACCTAAAAATATACCAAAATACCCCAAATCAATGAAGGAATGAAACTCTAGAAAACAAATATTAGACCCCTCCACAAATCAAATTAAAGTGGCAGCACATGAAAAATAAAGCAAACTTTGTCAGGCTGCCTGATGATGGTTTGTAACATCTGTACTAACCATGATGCATTGCTGCAATTACAAAATGCAAAAAAAATAAAAAAAAAACCTTGATGTCAGAGGTGTAGGGCACACGGATCTCCTCAGTGTGGTTAGTGAAGAGGTTGGGGGTTTTGACCTCCACCTCCCAGGGTCGGGGGGCCGTCTGGGTGTAGAAGTCAGCCTTCTCCCCTGGTGAGCACAGAAACAACCACAGCAAACCGTCACTCAAGTGTAAGCTTTATAACATGCTTTATGTCTTGTTATAATGCTATTCTCTCACCAAAAACACACCCAGAGTGTTGATTTGACTCATTCCTGCATGTTTGAGAAATCCTTCAATCTCCTGCGTTAGCTGCTTGGAGCTGCCAGAAGGCTTGCAGGTACAAAGCACCGCCCATTTGTACATAGCTCCTCCCTAAAACTCAATTCTTACTGAGCCCCTCCCCTGGAGCTCAGTCCCCAGCTGAGCTACAGCCCCACAGAACAACAAGTTTAGCATGGTTGTGAAGACGTGCTGAAAATGGGAGTGTCTGGAACGGTAGGAGGTTCTTAAAGAAACAGAGGCCAATTTCAAGGCGTTTCAATTGTTCAAAATGTTTTTGATATGTAGCTACATCTTTTTCAGAGCAACCCCAAAGTTGATTGTGGTATGACTATGTGCCATGAAAATACATAATACCCACCTCCCTCACACACCCACTGAGCCCAAGCGCACCTTTAAGGTGTGTTGGATTCAAATTAGAAACGTTCCTTTTAAACATCGTAGTATGATCTAAGAACAACTACTCATCAGAAATTGCTCAACCACCTTCAGAAATCCTTATTAAAGATGACGTAATGTGAAGCGTTATTTAACTCACGGCAACCAAATAAAAAGCTTTTCAGGATTTTAGAACAAACACTGAATTGATCAAACAAAACAATAGTTGAAAAAAGAAATGTGTGCGTTTACCTTCGTAAGGTTTTTGAGCCATTTCAGTGGACCTGGCCTCAGTGAACGTCTCCAGACGGTACTACAGATCAGAAAATATGACAAACAACTGGCATCACTGGATACAGACACACTGAATTTAGATTTAAATGATTTAGAGATAAAGGTGTTTTGTCATTTATGTTAAAATTGTACAATACTGTTTATTTGTGGCAAACAAGACACTTCATATTGTTTGCTAATCATGAGTTCTTCACAAAAACTTATCTGAAAAGGAAGTCGTGGCTTTTATTGACAGTTGTTTGTAGCTTTTGGGTCACTCTCTAGTGTCTGGATAGTTTATTGCTTATGTTTAATGTTCAATAAGGTAACTTTAGCTGGATCACAAAGGATCCATTAGTTGTAAAATAATCAGTTCCGAAAGGACAACAGATTAGATTTGTTTGAATGAATAGTTGGATATTAATCAGAGATTAAAACCAGACAAACATGACAGGAAGTTAAGTCTTCAGCTCTACAGAAGACATTATCTATAGTTAATCTATCATAGACACCAACAGTAACATTACAGCGTAAAATCAAATCACCCTGAATGTGTTGAGCGGCTCCATGTTCGTGATGACACCTTTATCCGCCGGTTCTGAACCGTAGCAGCACTGAGAGGATACATAGCTCTTGAACGCCCCTCGAGCAACGTCCTCTGACAGAGCGGGGATGCTGAAGAACACAGAAACATTTAAAACAGTAATGTCTGCAGCCTCCAGCAGACGGCGAGCATCAGGCGGCTTGTTTCCATTTCCGTCTTACCTCCAGTTGTCGGCTGCAGGCTGAGGTTGGGGCGGAGCGGGCGTTGCAGGCATGGGCGGAGGCAGGAAACCTCCTGAAAGAAGGATGGCAAATTTGTATTTAGCTGCTAAAGGACTTTTACTCTGAAGAGTTGGGTGAGCTGGACTGGTCCTACCTGCTCCGATCCCCTCATAGCCGGGCATGTTGCTGAACATGTTGCCTGCAGGGGCGTTGAGAGGGTGATAGACGTTGGGAGCGGGATACATGTTGCCTGCAGGAGCATTGGGAGGGGGATATATGTTGCCTGCAGGAGCATTGGGAGGGGGATACATGTTGCCTGCAGGGGCGCCAGGAGGTGGATGTATAGCTGCAACGAACAACCACACAATTCGGACCACAGATCCTTACAGATGTAGCGGAAACGTGAATATCTTCTCAACAAGAGACAGTCAAACTATTGTTCCTGTTAACTCATCTGATACTTCTCAATTAGTAGCAGCAAAGATGAGTATAATAGCAGCACTTATGTGAAAGAAAAAGGTGGGACCGAGAAGGTGAGGGGTWTAAGCAACATTCAAATTTGATAATCATCCAGGTGTCACCAGAAGCTATTTTTTAAAGAACAAAACTGATTTTGGAAGTTTACAGATTAAATTTACACAGTAAATGCACTCAATTTATTTCTTGACTAATCAAAAGCACAATAAACTACAATGATTTGGTGTTTTCCTGATTTCATTTTAACTTGACCTATTTTATTAATCTACATTTTATTATAGCCATTTTATCTAATATTTCTTTTTATGTAGCATTTCCCCAGGCTCTGTTTTGTTCTTGTTTACAGTAAAGGTTTTATTTAAAAAAAAAAGGACCTCCAATCACTACTTTCCTGACTGAACAGGTTGATACAGAGCTTTTTACCTTTATTACAAACAAAAGAACGTGCAGTTTGTCGAACACAGGCCACTTGTGAGCTGTGGCAGGACATATTTGTAAATCTGAGCCTCTCTAGAATGCAAATTGGGCGTGTACRATAATTTTCCTCAAARTATGATAATTTTGAGCTGCTGATACGATAATTCAACATTTCCCATCTAACACAGCTCAACTTCCTGATTTTGTTTCCTGGTTCAGGACTGACTAAGCAATCACACTCAGCTATGGAGGTTAATGTACAGATTTTAAATATGTAAACTTTCTAAAATCTGTTAGCTTTTAGGTATTGTTCTGCTACTTTTAGCTTTTAGCTAACCATTTGATAGTCTAGCTTTTAGCTACTCTTGTGATACTTTTAGCTTTTAGCAAGCCTTTTGCCACATTTAGTCTTTTGCTACTTTTAGCCTGTGTTTTTATTAATTTAAGCTTTTAATGCTCTGCTTATTTCAGCTTTTGTTCAGCATTTTGATTCTTTTAGCTTAAAAACAGAGTTTCTGCTCTTTTTTAAAGCAAATTCTTCCAGCTTTCACCATGAATTAGTAAAGGAAATGAAACATCRCATTGTTTTTTTCTTAGTCATTTCCCATCTGGGAGAAAATGTTACATAAAATCAAAAACAACCAGAATGTGAAACTTTTTATTTAATATCAAATTCAGCTTGGTGTATGTTTCAACAGCAACACGGGGGYGGACATTTCATCAAACCCCCACCCTGCACCTTTTCCACAGTACTTAAAAAGAAATTCAATAAAAAGCCAATCACTTGTCTGAGCACGCCTTTATTCTAGTGAAGCTTTGCTGGAAATAAAAGGTAGAAAAAATAAGTAAAAAAGGATCTAATTAAATGTTGCGAAAGAATATTTTAACGCCTCTGCAGTTCTCACACCAACTTTTTTTTTTGCTTTCATGGAATGTATGACCCTCGCAGCGTGCAGTGACTCAATAATACATCAATAAATATCTCAGATGATTTGAATTCTTGTTAGAATGCGTCACAGTGACCTAACCTTTAGTGTTTTAACTATTTTTATTTATTTATTTATTTCGAACAGACGTTAAAACAATCAAAAAGAAAAAAAAAGAAAATAGAATGAAACAAACTTAAGAAATAAAATGTAATACAAATTATTTTGCCCGTGTGACATGCAAAATTTTATATTTTCTGTTCGAAAAGGAGCAGGTAGAAGATACATCATATAATGTTCTGCCCCTTTCCTACTTGTCAATTTATTATCCATTAACTTTCAGAACATCAAAAAGAGACAACTTGTTTCCATTTTACATCATGTTTAACTATGTAGAATTATTTTAAGTACTATTTATATCATCAATTACATTATAGACTATTGAACATTAAACATCTTATATAGCATATTTTGAAATGAGCTCTGCTTTAATCAGTTTTTTAAAATTGGTTTACATTTGTAATTTTTTTTTAACTCATCATTCAATCCATTCCAGACATTTACTCCACACACTGATAAATAAAAACTCTTCCTGGTTGTTCTAATATGTTGTTTTTTAAAATATCCTTCACCTCTTAAATTATAACCCCCCTCTCTGTCACCAAACATTTCCTGTATGTTGTGTGGAAGTTTTTGATTTCGGACCTTAAACATGAATTGTATAGTAATTTAATTGACTAAAAGAAGTCRTAATAATTAAAAACATAGCTTCAAAGTGAAAATGTGATATTTTGAATTTATTTGGTCAAACGACTACTGAACACTTATCAGTTTTATTAATGCTTTTCAACATTCGGATATATGAATTTTGTGAGCACATTTTTCTTAATGAGTTTTCCTTACTTATTTTCTTGAATAGCATCATGAAAATATTCAACGTTTCTTTATTTTATGGCGTAAATTAAGTGATTTAAGTCTAAGTAAACATTATTTCATCATTAGCTAAATTGTAAGAATAAAGCTAGATTAATTTAACATACTTTCATAACGTTGGCTTTAATTAGCACTGTTTGTTATATCAGCCTAAAACAAGCTGTTCTAAGTAATTAAACATTTCCTTAAATTTAAACAGAATAATTTAGTGAAATTTATTTATTTCTGTACCTCACAGATTTGTTTGAATTTTAATGATCTTCCAGGACAAAGTCGGTGTCAGTTTATATTTCAGATTTACAGTAAAGCCAAAGCTGCCTCAGGGAAATAACTGCATCTCTCTGGATGAGATGGGTCGATTTTCTCTCTCAGAAAGGGCTGCAAAACTCATGTAACCAGCAAAAACCAGCAGTCAGTTCCAAATATACAMCCAAAAACAGACTGGCACTAATATAAAGGATCAAAACAAAAATATACTCAGTTTACGTAATCAGARTTAGAACAGTCATGTTCTAAAAACAAACAGGGCGTGGCTTCTTAATTACATTTATACATTAAAGCTACATTTTATTTTTTACATATGCCCTCAGTGTTTAACTTTTCTGTCTAAAAAACTTTTTTTCCCTTTCCTAGATATAAAGCAGGTCAAAAATCTTGTTTTTTATTCTGTCTTGACAGTATTCTCTTGTGGGACATGCTGCTCCTCCCACCGTCTGTCTGCTGAATGGTTTCTTACATTTATCTTTCAGAAAACTGCACGAAATAAAGTCTAAAGTATCTTACCTGCGCTCATGATGCCGCTCGAACACGTTTACTTTGCTCGGTTGTTTGAATCAACACTAATAATCTCGTGATAAACGTACACTCTGTTATCTACGCCAGTAATCAATAAGAAAAACCCACTTCCGGTAAATCTTTCAGAATAAAATAACTTTAGGTGAAAGGCTTCACAATCAAAACACCAACTTCCTGAATTAAAAACTTTAAAGTACTCAAATGAAGTGGTGCATTTTAAAAATATTTAGTAGTTTCTCCAGATGTATTCATAAACAACTGTGAATTGCAGGTATGCTCTCAATGTAAACAAAACACTTATTTGCGATACGTCAAAATTGTCCGGCTTTTGGATTCCAAACACATTTTCTGTGGATGTTGGCTCATTTTTAATTAAAGTTTGGCACTGCAACTAAAACGTTTACACACGTTTAGTAGGGGTGCAACGATACAGAAAATTAACGATTCGGTTCGATACTTTATGTGT